TCGTCCATCCGTTCTGTACATTTGCGAAATCCGACATACATACTTTACTCTCGCTGGTCTGCGAAATTTCAATGGAATTAATTAAAAGAACTTTTAGACGTAGCCCAAAATTCAAAGTATGGTCGGCAGGTACACTTTTTTAATTGTAGGAAAAACAAATGATGTTGCAAAAGTTTTATTTCTATGCAATATATGTTTGTGATGAACTCATTTAATAAGCTCTCAATTGGAAATGAAAAGCATTTATTTCAAGAGAAACTCCGAGCTCGGAGCAGGTGAAAGAGCTGAGAGAATTATTAAAACAGAATCATGCGTACACCTTAAGTGCACATTTACATAAAAGAGACGAGAAACTTCAAAGACGATCAGACGTGAACATACTAAATACACCGCAAATAAGAAATCTGTGCTCTTCAAAAGAACGGTTTTTACGTAATTACAGTTTTCTCTATTGCAGGAATTAATTTTATGAATTTTATAATATTGAATTAATTTAATTTCGAATTTTTACTTTTTTAATAAAGCTCTCAACTTTGATTATGTTTCATAAAAAATCCTTAAAAATGTGAAGATTTTTTTATTGCGAAGCTTGATTGGATTGTGCGGAGAGAATGAGGTATTTGCAAAGTTTATTTTATACTTTTGATTGGATTCGCAATCGATAATGAGCACTCAAGGCACGGCGAATGTTCTATGTAACGAGGATAAAAGTTGATTGAGTCAATCAATCAATTATTCTATCAGAGCGGTGCGAGAATTACAAACGAAGATTAAGATTTTATTACCCGGCGCTCGTAGAGCACGCTTTTCGAATGTCAATTATGAGAGCTGTTCATTTGAAGAGAGACGAAAGATTTTTCCCTCTTCGAAGCCAGAATATTAAAACTTTCCTGATTAGTCTTTTCCTCTCCTTCTTTACAAATCAGCTTCACCCAAATCGCGAACAAAAAATTCTTCTTAAAACTTCCTTCTTAGCACTCCTCGTCGAATATATTTTTCATTTGCATATAATTAGTAATTCTACGGAGCGGCAAAATTTGATTGCAATCTGCATCTGTTGCCATCTCGCTCTCTATTGATCTCTGCTTCTGCGTTGCAGTGTAACTATATAATATTATAACACGCTGAGCTGCTGAATAATGCATGCTGTGGAGACATGGAGCCGTTAATGGAAACACCGCCTCTCTTACCTTTTTATATAAAATGCGGCATACAAAAGCGCCCCGAGAACCAAAAACCACCCTGCGGCTCCATATTTCCTTCTTCCAAATTCTGCTGGCACGCGTCAATATGTGCTTGCAACCCCTAAAAGATAGAATGTTAAACGCGTGGCGGGAAATGATAACGCAGTTAAGAGTAGCGCGGCGCGGGGCATTGAATAATGATGTTATTCCCGATGAGCTGCGAGGGTCGCGCGACGACTGCAGACGAGGGCAAAAAGCGGCGCGTGAATTCCAAGTAATCGATAAATCATGCAGATTCGAGCGGATTCTGCATATCTTTAATTGCCAAGCATCAGATTGTGCACATCCAGTTGCCAACATTCTGAGAAACTAAGAAATTTATTCATAATCCAAAGTTTACTCAAATGAGAGGAAAAATATTTATATTTTTTACCACATTTTTCGTCAATTAAATCAACATAGTAAGTCAATCAATTTCATTTTATTTTAATTTCCAAAGTTGCAATTAATAATATGATAATTTAAGAATAAATTAATATGCGGTTGTGTGCCGAGAGCGTTAATTAGTGATACGTGAGTGGCAGCGGTTCTCGCTTTCCTGCCAATAAACTGGTTCCGAGCGTGCCAGTTTCTCCTCTGGCGGACCGATTGATTGCGATCTCCGCACCCCATTCGAAATTTAATTACACTAATTGATTTCAATCTGCGATCACAACAATCTCGAAGCGGGGTTGAATTTAGCCGCGCCATCAATTGCATTAGAAAATACCGGCAGGGCAGTATTTTAAATTGTTATCGCCTTTTCTACCAACATTGACCGCGCGCGCAGTTTGTTTTGCCTCGGATGGTGATGAGAGCGCGATCAGAGATAGCAAGCCTAGCCGCAAAACTAATTTAGATTGACTTTGAAATACTAGAGCGGGCACGAGATATAAATCCACTTCCACCAAAAAAAGAAAATCAAGCGCAGCCTCCGTGCGTATGCAGCTGGATTAAAAGCCGATAACAAATGGTGTGTGTGTTCTGCGTGAGCGTAAATGTTGGATGATTGGAAAATAATTAAACGCAGGGTGAATCAATGAATCAACACGCGCAGACATGGCCTGGTGGAAAAAGCGAAAGCCGCGCGGGGCCTGTCAGTGGTTAAATTTTAATCAGCCCTTGTCAATTTTTCATCAGCCATTCACTGTTTGCTCTTCGACCTTTTTTAATTATGGGTACCTGGAAAATCGGCAGTCGAATTGATTAATTAAAGTGGGTTTGATCAGTTAATGGCCAAAGCGGGGTCACAACTCTTTTTTTTTGTAAAAATGTTCCCGAATTAATTAATTCTGTCATTTTAGAAGAAAATAAAAAAGCTGATATTATATTTAGCTTCAATTTTATAGTTTATTTAAAATATAGTTGATTAAATTTTTTTAAACAAATAAAAGTGTTTCTAGTTTCTAATGAAAAAGGTTTGATTTTAGAACTTTTTAAAAACTTCATGTGCACAATGCAGGCTATTTTCACGCCCCATTTAAAGCGTGTGACCACTTTAGCCAGCAGATTCAAGGGATTTCAGCTGGCGGTGCAGCCTAGAGCTCCATATCCGCATTCAGCGCAGCAGACTTAGCACTTTTTTCCTAAGGCCGATTTTATGAGACGAGCGGGCTGCAAATCTACCTATCTGTCTGGCTGTGTTTGAGCCCGGAAAAGAGCCAATTACCATCGAGCAGCGCGCATGAAATAAATTCGCCCATCGACTCAAAATTATACGCCACTTGGCCAACCAATCCTCCGGTATTTATCCCCCAAGTGGCGCTCCCGTCCGTTTGATGAGCAGCCTCGATATGTGAGCTCGCGAGACTGCATCACCGAGCTTTTCCAGCTTTAATCGAATTCTTTCGCTACACGGAACCTCTAAAGAGTTTAACCACTTGTGAAATTGAAACGTTGTAAAAAAAACTCGGTATTTATGAAAATGTAAATACATTGAAGTTTTTGCACTGAAAAAATTAATTGCTGACTTTTGTGGTTTTTATTCATGATTGAAAATTTAAAAATTTGAACGTATTTTTTAGTCTATCCCAATTGTTAAAGATTTGAATTTTACTCTTTTTAATTAATTGGGAAAAGAGATTTCAGCGAAAAAAGCTTTGATGGCTGAGGTTATTCAAGTGACGAGCAAACACCGCTTTGGCAGGTAATATTCTGGGCTTTTTTGTACATTCCAGTGAGCGCGGCCTCTTCACTGCTCTTTGCGCCGAGGTTTGTGTGCTGTGCTCGGAGGCTGCAGTACTTTTGCCACCGCACCAACTCACACATCCATCTCTCAGCCAGGTAAATTCCGCAATTTAGCTCCCGCTGAGATACGGCCCCACATTAGAGACGAAAAACGACGAGAAAAAAATGTTCTCCCAGCGCACCGTGCACGAAATCCTCTCGGGTTCTTATATTTGCTTTTTCCTGCACAGGGAATGACGCAAGAGTGCTTTTATCCGTGGCCAAATACCATCAAACTCGTGATTTACTCAGCAGCACAACGAATTGCGACTTGCACGTAGCTCAATTCTCAGCTATGTACAAACCTTAATAACAGGAAAACAAGATTATTTTGAGATAAAATGAAGAATATTTCGATATAAAAAAAAAATGCAGACTTGAAAATTTATCTAAAGAAATATAAAACATTTGGATTTCAATCATTACCAGAATGAATTTTGTGACTTCTTCACATTTTCCATTTTCAGGCAGTACTGCCGAGAAAAAAACATGTTTTTGATTGATTCGGCTGAAACGAATCAAATCAACTGTGTTAACTAATTAATTTTAAGCTATTATTTATATGCTCCTTCAAACTAGTTTAAAAATTTTTGTAGAATGGGAAAAATTATTTTATTCAAAAATTTATCTATATGTGCTAAATTTCAAAACTAGAAGTCCAAATTTAATGTTAGAGGTGGCAAAATTGATTTAAAATGTAGCCTAAAGAGTTTAAATATATTACATAATATATTTTAAATATAACATCATTTTTGATATAATAATGAACTTAGATCTTTAATTTAACCTTCAGCGTGAAATCTTGAGTGCATGAAATTGTTGTACGAGAAAAAAATTAAGTGAAAACTGTTCTTTGGCGTGCATAATTTGCATCGAAGAATTTGTATAATTGGGCGGAGCGCGGAAAGTTGCGTGTAATCTCTTTTGTTGGCGAAAATTCCGGGCTGGTACTTGGAAGCAACCGCACGTAAAAGCGCTAATTAGCATTGCACGTCGCCCGAGTGGAAATTGGCGGCGCCGGTGGCTGACTTCGAAAACCGGGTCTTAAATTTAGCGAGAGAAATGTGCATTAGGCTCTGCTCGCAGACAGTTCATGCAAATATGCATTATGGATTTGCAGCTCTCAGGATTTGCGTGGCGGAAATAGTCTCTCCTCGGCTGGATCAAATGCCTTATTCTGCCATGCATAATGGAAAGGTGATTGCGAGCGGCTCGGTCGGTCGGTGTCATGTATTTATGAGGACTTAATGGCCATGTTACTATGCTCATTTGCAATAGCTCACTCTAATCCTGCTTGTGTGTGTGTGTGTGTGTAAGTGTGTGCTCGTTTTTATACACTCAAGTTTATTTAATGCGGAGAAGCTTTAAAAACCACGTTTTTTTAATGAAAATTTAAAATAATTGTTATTCAAACAAAAAATGCTAAGTAACATATGACCCTGTTGTGCGATTATTGTTTTTCTAACCTTATCAGATAAAAACAAATTCAACTGCGTGAATAATCTCTTTACAAAGTGATAACGATGACCCCAAATCTCAACGTTGCCTATATATAACTCAATAAGAGTCACTTTTTGTTGTAAACATGAAAATGTTTTTGGCCTTCTTCTTATGTTTGCTGGCGACTGTCAGTGGCCAATGGGACACCCACATGGTGCCAGGGCACAGCACGATTGTGCACCTTTTTGAGTGGAAATGGGCTGACATTGCGAACGAGTGCGAAAATTTCTTGGGTCCGCAAGGATTTGGAGGCGTCCAGGTAAAAAATCATAGCAAATTCTATTCAAAGGACTCTTTTACCATTTTATCTTTTTTTTCTGCAGTTATTTTAGAGAAGTTCTTTTTGCCGGTTTTGCAAAAAAACTACTAAACTGTTGATATTGTTTTACAAAAATTCATAAAATTTACTAATTTAACAATGAAAATAAATGTTCATGAAATTTTTTTTTGTAGATTTCTCCTCCGACGGAAAATGCAGTGGTTGAACCAAGACCGTGGTGGGAACGCTACCAGCCGATTTCGTACAATTTCGTCACCCGATCCGGAGACGAAGCCGAGTTGGCCGACATGATCAGCCGATGCAACGCAGCCGGCGTTCGAATTTACCCCGACATCATCTTCAACCACATGACCGGCCCGGCGGAATTTTTGACCGGCACCGGAGGCAGCACCGCCGAGCCCAATAACAAGAATTTCCCAGGCGTGCCCTACAGCGCGATCGACTTCAACCCTTCCTGCGACATTACCAACTACGACGATCCATACAACGTATATAAATTTTGGAAAAATTAATATTTATTTTTATAATTATTCAATTACAGGTGCGAGATTGCGAATTGGTTGGGCTGAAGGACCTCGCGCAATCCACGGATTATGTGCGCGCGAAAATCGCGGAAATGCTGAACAGGTTGATCGACATGGGAGTCGCTGGATTCAGGATTGATGCCGCAAAGCACATGTGGCCTGGAGACATGCAGGTCATCCTTGACCAGCTCCACGACCTCAACCCTGACCACGGTTTTAATCCTGGTTCTCGGGCCTTCATTGCTCAGGAAGTCATTGATTTCGGTAATTGCAATAATATTATTTTTAAATCAATAATTTTTTTAAATACATCAACAGGCTAGGCAACTTGCTTGGCATTAATGTTAGGCAGGTTGTGTAAATTTAAATTTATACTAGAAAAAAGCATAAAAAAACACCATATTTATTTTATTTGGATAATCTCAGACTCTTATGATCTCTGCAATCTTTTTTACTCAAAATTTTACAAACTCTATCAAAAGAATCGTTAATAATTATAAATTTTTTCAGCTTACAATTAGAGATGAATAAAATTGAATTGAATTTAGCCTCAAAAGGATATTTTAAAAAATAAATGTTTAAAATAATATAAAATTCATTTTCAGGGGGAGGTGTCGTGAGTCACACCGATTATTTGAGCCTGGGAAGGATCACCGAGTTCAGATTTAGCCAGGAAATCGGCCGGGCCTTCCGAGGACTGAACGAACTCAAGTGGCTGGTGTCGTGGGGCGAGGGTTGGGGCTTCATGGCGTCCGGCAGTGCCCTGGCCTTTGTGGACAACCACGACAACCAGCGCGGAGGTGGCGACATCCTCACCTACAAGCAGCCCAAGAACTACAAGATGGCGACGGCCTTCAACCTGGCGCACACCTACGGCACCCCCAGGATCATGTCCAGCTTCGACTTTGACTTCTCGGACCAGGGCCCGCCGGCCGACGCGTCCGGCAACACCGTCGGCCCGGGCTTCAACGCGGACGGCACGTGCACCAACGGGTGGGTGTGTGAGCACCGCTGGCGTCAGATCTACAACATGGTCGGCTTCAAGAACGCCGTCGAGGGCGAGACCCTCAACGACTGGTGGGACAACGGCAGCAACCAGATCGCCTTCTGCAGAGGCAATCGCGGCTTCATCGCGTTCAACAACGAGTTCGGAACCGATTTGGTCGAGAATCTTCAGGTGAGATCAATTTAATAAAATTTTGATATGTCACATTTTTTAAAAAATCTTAATTTGTCCAGAAATATAAAACATTCGAATTTTACGCAAATTTTGAAACAAATTTTTGATTGTTGTAAAATTAAAAATAGTATGAAATTTGTGATTTATTCCTTGTTATTATAAAAAGAATATCCTTAAATTTTGTTCAGAGATATAATCTTGAATACTATTTAAATTATTTTCAAGCTTTAGGTTGAAAGAAAATCTACATAATCTTATTTAAAGGATTAAATATATTTAAATAAAAATAAGCTAGTTTTTTTTTTAATTTTGCTGATTTAAAAAAAAAATATGAAACTGACAGACTTGCCTTCCTGCTGGCACATACTGCGACGTAATTTCTGGTGATCTTGAGGGTGGCGTTTGCACAGGAAAAAGCGTGGGGGTTGGAAATGATGGCGTGGCTATGATTCTGATTGGAAATGATGAATTGGACGGCGTTCTTGCCATTCACGTTAACGTGAGTATTCACTTTTTTTAATTTAAATAATATTTATTAAATACTCACAAAAATTTTAATAGAAGATATTAAAATAAGATAAATAATCAATCAAAGATATTTATAATATTTATGTATGATGAGCCAATTTATGTTTAAATTCTATTTCAGGCAAAACTGTGATACTAAGGCTGATTGACCAGGGCTGAGTGGTATTATTGGTAAATAAAAAATGTGAAAAATTCAAAGTAATGACAATTTTGATTATTTTCATGTTTAAAAATAAAATACATTTTATTGATTAAAATTGAATTCATCTTTTTCAATTTAATAAATGAAGGTTCTCTGACGAAATGTAGAAAAATCTGCTGACTAGAAATTGATTAATGACTGAGAAAGGATCAAATTTCAACGATACACTACTTTTCCGGAGTTGTAAAGTTCACTGGAAGGTCTCGTTTTCCCATTAGCATTGAGAGTGTAATTACCACGGAGCACTCGCGAAATTTAATCATGAAAAATGAAGCGACGAAAGCATGCAAAAGGCTTTCTTTATATTATTCACGTGGGGCACAATGCGTGTTTTGTAGGCCGTGATTAAGGTTCAATGATTGATGTGAGAGTTGCCGCCGCTTGTGCCGAGATATAACCAAAGCCATATCGGTTTTGGTAAATATTCCTCGCAGGTTCTTTCACGCGCTCCAGATTGAAATTGTGCGTTTTCTGCAGGGAAAGCGCCGCGTCTGGTTTTAATACTGCGGAGCGGCCTGTTTTTCATCCAATCTGATTTCCCTTTTTCCGACCGCGCGCGCGTTCTTTCCGTCGTCTTTTACGGTGTAAAAAATGTGATCGACATTACTCAATCACTGATGTATGGGCCGCAGTAGTACTAAACTCATTCACCGCTAGCGCAGATGAAGAGGGCGAGATGAGAAAAAACGGAGGCAGGGGCGAATTCCAAATCACGCTCTCGTATTTCCCCCGTGAAGCGGCGCCCGATATTGCTCTCGCCATCGTCGTGGTGGTGCGAGCAAAAAATTTGTTGGCGGCGAAATTCCGCTGGCAATCAAAGCCGTCAAATATATTACGCAATTTAAATCAAATGACTGATCAAAAAATAGACGAGGTGATTTATCAATCAAGAGGCTTTCGATGAGGTCAAAAATTAAAAAAATGTTCATTTCAGCATGGGAAAAATTGAAAATTTAGATCAAAATCCCAATTGCAATAGACTATTAATAATTGATGATATGCTGGATTTTGCAAAAAGATATGAAATTGTGTCATTATTGTTTACAAATACATTCATCACCATAATTTAAGTATAATTTTCATATAACAAAATCTTTTCGCAAATGGAGGAAATATTAGATGAACAACAAGTTTAAATTGTACATAATATATGATTTTGACAATTAATGTTCGCGACAGGCAACAATTAAGTACTTTGGGACTTCAAATGATGCCAGAAAAATATAAAATTTTTATGAGCACCTCATATCAGGTACACATACGAGCACCTAAAATGAGCACCTCATATCAGGTGAACGTATGAGCACCTCATATCAGGTGAACATATGAGCACCTAAAATGAGCACCTCATATCAGGTGAAGGTATGAGCACCTAAAATGAGCACCTCATATCAGGTGAACATATGAGCACCTAAAATGAGCACCTCATATCAGGTGAACATATGAGCACCTAAAATGAGCACCTCATATCAGGTGAACGTATGAGCACCTAAAATGAGCACCTCATATCAGGTGAACATATGAGCACCTAAAATGAGCACCTCATATCAGGTGAACGTATGAGCACCTAAAATGAGCACCTCATATCAGGTGAACGTATGAGCACCTCATATCAGGTGAACATATGAGCACCTAAAATGAGCACCTCATATCAGGTGAAGGTATGAGCACCTAAAATGAGCACCTCATATCAGGTGAACATATGAGCACCTAAAATGAGCACCTCATATCAGGTGAACATATGAGCACCTAAAATGAGCACCTCATATCAGGTGAACGTATGAGCACCTAAAATGAGCACCTCATATCAGGTGCACATATGAGCACCTCATATCAGCTGCACATATGAGCACCTAAAACAAGCACCTCATATCAGGTGAACATATGAGCACCTAAAATGAGCACCTCATATCAGGTGAACATATGAGCACCTAAAATGAGCACCTCATATCAGGTGAACATATGAGCACCTAAAATAAGCACCTCATATCAGGTGAACGTATGAGCACCTAAAATGAGCACCTCAAATCAGGTGAACATATGAGCACCTAAAATAAGCACCTCATATCAGGTGAACGTATGAGCACCTAAAATGAGCACCTCATATCAGGTGAACGTATCAGCACCTAAAATGAGCACCTCATATCAGGTGAACGTATGAGCACCTAAAATGAGCACCTCAAATCAGGTGAACATATGAGCACCTAAAATAAGCACCTCATATCAGGTGAACGTATGAGCACCTAAAATGAGCACCTCATAGGTGAACATATGAGCACCTAAAATGAGCACCTCATATCAGGTGAACATATGAGCACCTAAAATGAGCACCTCATATCAGGTGCACGTATGAGCACCTAAAATGAGCCTAGATCAGTCTCACTGTTTGCGACAATTCAAGCTTATATTATCGGATTTATATCAACAATTGCGTTCCGAATGTTATATTCGTCTGAATATAAGTGAGACACAAATTAAGTTGAATTTCATATATTTGCCCATCTTTGTGCTTGAAACGTGTTGAATGTGAATTTTAACTTTAGAAATACTTTCTACAGTAGCTTAGCTTTACTCTGTTACTTCTACAAATTGCTGGCTGATCAAGAAATAAATTTTCTAAAATTTTGAAATCTAAAAATATTCTTACCCTGAAAATAGGTAAAAAATTAATTTTTTTCAATTAATATTTAACCACTTGTGACCTTTGTGATTCCCTAGATCAGTCTCACTGATTGCGACAATTCAAGCTTATAATATCGGATTTATATCAACAATTGCGTTCCGAATGTTATATTCGTCTGAATATAAGTGAGGCACCAATTAAGTTGAATTTCATATATTTGCCCATCTTTGTACTTGAAACATGTTGAATGTGAATTTTAACTTTAGAAATACTTTCTGCAGTAGCTTAGCTTTACTCTGTTACTTCTACAAATTGCTGGCTGATCAAGAAATAAATTTTCTAAAATTTTGAAATCTGAAAATATTCTTACCCTGAAAATTGGTAAAAAATTTATTTTTGTCAATAATTATTTAACCCGAAACGCCCTTTGTGATTCCCTAGATCAGTCTCACTGTTTGCGACAATTCAAGCTTATATTATCGGTTTTATATCAACAATTGCGTTCCGAATGTTATATTCGTCTGAATATAATTGAGGCACCAATTAAGTTGAATTTCATATATTTGCCCATCTTTGTGCTTGAAACGTGTTGAATGTGAATTTTAACTTTAGAAATACTTTCTACAGTAGCTTAGCTTTATTCCGTCACTTCAACAAAATGCTGGCTGATCAAGAAATAAATTTTCTAAAATTTTGAAATCTGAAAATATTCTTACCCTGAAAATAGGTAAAAAATTAATTTTTTTCAATTAATATTTAACCACTTGTGACCTTTGTGATTCCCTAGATCAGTCTCACTGATTGCGACAATTCAAGCTTATAATATCGGATTTATATCAACAATTGCGTTCCGAATGTTATATTCGTCTGAATATAAGTGAGGCACCAATTAAGTTGAATTTCATATATTTGCCCATCTTTGTGCTTGAAACGTGTTGAATGTGAATTTTAACTTTAGAAATACTTTCTACAGTAGCTTTGCTTTATTCTGTCACTTCTACAAATAGCTGGCTGATCAAGAAATAAATTTTCTAAAATTTTGAAATCTAAAAAAATTCTTACCCTGAAAATTGGTAAAAAATTTATTTTTGTCAATAATTATTTAACCCGAAGCGCCCTTTGTGATTCCCTAGATCAGTCTCACTGATTGCGATAATTCAAGCTTATATTATCGGTTTTATATCAACAAATGCGTTCCGAATGCTATATTCGTCTGAATATAAGTGAGGCACCAATTAAGGTGAATTTCATATATTTGCCCATCTTTGTGCTTGAAACGTGTTGAATGTGAATTTTAACTTTAGAAATACTTTCTACAGTAGCTTAGCTTTATTCTGTTACTTCTACAAATTGCTGGCTGATCAAGAAATAAATTTTCTAAAATTTTGAAATATGAAAAAATTCTTACCCTGAAAATTGGTAAAAAATTTATTTTTGTCAATAAATATTTAACCCGAAGCGCCCTTTGTGATTCCCTAGATAAGTGTCACTGATTGCGATAATTCAAGCTTATTTTATTGGTTATATATCAGCAATTGCGTTCCGAATGCTATATTCGTCTGAATATAATTTAGGCACCAATTAAGTTGAATTTCATAATATTTGCCCATCTTTGTGCTTGAAACGTGTTGAATGTGAATTTTAACTTTAGAAATACTTTCTACACTAGCTTAGCTTTATTCTGTCACATCTACAAATTGCTGGCTGATCAAGAAATAAATTTTCAAAAATTTTGAAATATGAAAAAATTCTTACCCTGAAAATTGGTAAAAAATTTATTTTTTTCAAAAAATATTTAACCAGAAGCGCCCTTTGTGATTCCCTAGATCAGTCTCACTGTTTGCGACAATTCAAGCTTATATTATCGAATTAATATCAACAATTGCGTTCCGAATGCTATATTCGTCTGAATATAATTTAGGCACCAATTAAGTTGAATTTCATATATTTGCCCATCTTTGTACTTGAAACGTGTTGAATGTGAATTTTAACTTTAGAAATACTTTCTACAGTAGCTTAGCTTTATTCTGTCACTTCTACAAATTGCTGGCTGATCAAGAAATAAATTTTCTAAAATTTTGAAATCTGAAAAAATTCTTACCCTGAAAATTGGTAAAAAATTTATTTTTGTCTATAAATATTTAACCCGAAGCGCCCTTTGTGATTCCCTAGATCAGTCTCACTGATTGCGATAATTCAAGCTTATATTATCGGTTTTATATCAACAATTGCGTTCCGAATGCTATATTGACTGAATATAATTGACGAACCAATTAAGTTGAATTTCATATATTTGCCCATCTTTGTGCTTGAAACGTGTTGAATGTGAATTTTAACTTTAGAAATACTTTCTACAGTAGCTTAGCACTATTCTGTCACTTCTACAAATTGCTGGCTGATCAAGAAATAAATTTTCTAAAATTTTGAAATATGAAAA